TTCTATTCTATTCTATTCTATTCTATTCTAGCATTCTGCAAGACACTATACTATATACGTGGTAATGCATTTCTCAACATGTGGTGAAGAATGCTGCTGAGGCTCATGTCAAAAGTTTTTACATTTTATTATTCATCTTTTATTGAAGGATCCACATGGTGAACTGAAAGATCAGAATGTTCTTATGGTTAGGGGTACCATTGAAGACACTGCAAAAAAATACAAATTAAACATGAAAACTACCCAAGATGCTCTAAAAAAGTGCAGAGAAATATTATTTGTGGAAAGACAGAAACGACCAAGACCTCACTTGGACAACAAAATGATAACAGCATGGAATGGTATGTTTGTGTCACTATACATAAGATCCATAAGAGAAAACGTTAATATCGCTCTCATATTAATGCCATGTTAATTAAGTCTATAGCGTAGTTACTACCTTATACTAAAATATGTTTGGATATTTAGAGTACTAACAAATTTCCACTTCCGGTCTGGTTAGACTTAAAATACACTACGAATATTCACTTTTGAGATATAAGTTTGCTATGTGTTGGTTCTTGGATATAAGCTTCGTCGTCCTGTACTTCCTTTAGTAATTCAAACTTCCCAGTTTGTGTAAAAAGGAAGAGATTTCGACATCAAAAATTCCTTTGCTTCATTATTTGCTGAGGGACGGCCGCTTAGGTATGTGCTCTGTAACTTACTGTACATGAACCTAAAAACGTTAAGTAATCAAACAAAAATGACCTTGTACTAAAGTCCAAAAACTTTGTTCAAAGTCTTCATTTTTTCGTAGTATAAAAACGATTTGTTTCCTAGCTTATTGTGTCACCCTCAAATCAACTGATTTCTATTCTCCTCAAGAGTCAAAGTGGTATATGCCTCCATTTTACGCCACAACTGAAAAACATCTTTTTTGCTTGACATGTTCATTTGCCTTCAATTACGTTTCAGTGGCTGTCTTGCCCATGACATTTTGGTTCAAATTCACGTAGCTATCGCCAAGAAAATTCAAGAAATCTTTCATTTCTTTGTCAACTAACATGTGAGGTATGTAAATGTACGGTAAAACAGCCATTGCGAGCGTTGCCGCGAGTTCGCTGATTTATGTGTTACTGTGA